TTCAGCTTTCGAGTAGGACATTTTCAGTAGGCTACATGGAGATTTTACTATGTTATTCTCACTAATGTGTGTTTAGACTATCTCTGCCACGGAGATTATAGGCAAATGGTGTTTCAAAGCTCTCCTCGACATTTGTAAAATTGTTGGTGCTATGTAGCTATTTGTTGTGATGTTGAAACTATTAGTTATAAGTGGACCTTTTAAAATAAATCTTTGAAGAAAACTTAATAATATAGGAAAATAAAGTCCATCCTTTTGTAAGGCAGTTTCTATTAGCCTTCCTTTTTGAGAAATTCAGATTTTCAGTTCAATTGTATTACCATGGTGATGTGTTTGCATTTCAAAACCCAAACTACACTGAAGACTAGAGTTCTGCCTGTCTAGCTCCTGTCCTGGGATTTTTATTGCAGTATCTTTATTATTAAATAAAATCCCTGACATGCTGGCTAAAAATCACTACAAAGAAACAATTGCTCAGCCAGACAAAACAACCTGGATTGTTAATTTCAGAATTCTAAGAAAGTGCATAAAGATGAAAAGAAAAATGTAGATTAGAGAGGGGGTAAAAATCAAATGAAAAAATAGCCCACAAAGGAATAGAAATATATGTACGCTCTAAGTTAACATCGTGCGTAAACAAAAACAGACAGGGAATTATGCTTAATGAGGACTGGACGGGTGGCTTAGCCCTCTGATATCTGAAACCAGTAAACACTTCCAGAATTGCCGGCACACACGTCCCTCTCTCGAAGGAGAGCTTTTAGAGCTGGCTCCTCCTCTTGTTTATGAAGCTTATTTGCTCTTTGGAATAATTGCACATATAGTTCTGATAATTACACGAGCTCTACAGGAGGTGGGTTTTGAGTCTTCAAAAATTCCTATAGTTAGTGCCAGCCAGATGCAGAAGATAGTTTTGCATAATACTGTTTTTATCAGGAGAAGGGAGAACGCATCATCTCTTCTAACCAATCACTAAAGTGTGAAAACAAGATTTGGACAGAAATTCACAGCCATCCTATCACTTTCGTCCAAATGTATCAAACTATCTCTTCCCAGGTAACAATTTTGTTAGCCTGAGGACACATTAGCTGTTAGATCTGGGCTCTCCCAAGGCTTTCTGTTAGCTGCTCTGCTTACTGGTACATAAGCAATGCGATTTTGCCTAGCAACTGGCCATGGAGACACAGCTCTATTCTGTTAAGTGGTGGGGACGTGGGGAGGAGGCAGGGAGAGTGAGGTTTCTGCCTCTTAGGGTCCCTCTGCAGCTGGTTCCTGACATCACAGACGTTATTTGCAATTCTTGGCAGTTTCAAAAGGATGATGAAAAACGAGGGGGAAATTAACTGAAAGGCAGATAAAAGAGCTTCCAAGATTGTGAGCTGAAACGTCTGAGAGCTCAACCTGGAGTTGGCACGGAAGAACCAAGAGAGAATGAGGACTTCTTTTCTCATTGAAAATGAGGTAATTATATGAGAGAATGTACCCAGGAAGGGACAATCAACAGTGACTTCAGATCTTAAGCACATGAGAGGGAACATTTCTCAACAGCAAAGAGAAGCATTGAATCTGGAACTGTCTACATCTGAGGAAAGACTGGAACGTTTACATTAAAAATTCCTGTTAATCATTGAGCACTCTGCTCAGCTTGTACACTTTATTTAATCTTCCAAACAATCCTATGAGCGGGGCTTCTCGTATTTCCATTTTGTAGAGGAAGAAACTAATGCACAGAGAGGTTGAGAAACTTGGCTGAGGTCACTCAGCTATTTAGCAGCAGGGATGAGATGTGTCTCATGCCGTCTGCCCTTAGACCCAATGTTCTCAAACACCATTTTACAGTAGTAGTGCACAGTTGCGTGGCTAATGGAGATAAGAAGCCTGCAGATCACCACACGACACGTGAGATGGTTTGTGGTCCCATCCTGAAAGCTACAGTTTAAAATGTTCAATTAAGGCAACCTTTTTTTTTTCCTCTGATATCTAGAGGGCAGCAAAAACATGAATATCCAGATAACAGCTATTGCTAAAACCATACGCCCACATCTATTCTTTTTATAGTGAAGTATGGGTATACACATCTTTTCATACACCTACACACACACACACACACACACAAACACACAAGACACTTATTTCCTAAGTCCCTAAAATACCCTGATAATTACATGCTCCAAGCATTCTCTGAGCATCACCCTTGGATGTCGGAGAGAAGCAGCCTGGGGACACACTGGTTGGCTTGGGTGGTTAGTAGTGGTGAAATGTTTACCTGGCTGATAAACTCTCTAGTAGAGAATGCAATTAAGACATCACGATCTAGCCTCTGTGATACATCTCCTTCTCTGCCACCAAACAAATTGACTCCTTCCCTCTCCTCCTCTGCTCATCTCCTGAAGCCCTGGAATGTCTCCAGCTTCCCACATCCTCGTAGCCCTCCTTTGGCACCCTGCGCCTCATTTAGATTGCAATAGAATTTGCATCCTAATTTATGATTTAACAGCATCTCACAAACATTTAATTCACTTTAATTTCAATATACACTTGAGGAGGACGATTTAGAGATGGGGAAATGATTTTCCCATTGCCAGCAGTTACATTAACTTCATGATCTATGGTGAACTCTCCTTTTGGGTTTTGGACTTTTCCTACATGTCTACAAACAAAACTAGGCTAAATAAATTCCTGGATTCTCAAAGGGACTCAACTGCCGCCACAAATTCCTCTAAAATATCCAACATGGAAATTCATAAAATGGACAAGACATACCCTATGTCTCCTTCTCAGGCAACTTATCTTACTTTTATGTGTGGAAAAAACTGGTATTTTCATACACAGTTTCAACAATATATCAATAAATTGTAATTTTCTTCATATAGCTTTTCTGAGGAGATGGGGAGGAGACTATTTAAGAGTGTAGATCAAATTATGTCTCCCTGTTCCCACGTTATACACTGACTACCTCTTAGGAGTAGATCACACAACTCCTTTTAATAAGGAAGGATTGTATTTCTTTAGCTTTTCTTGCGAGTGTTGTTTAGAGAATATTTTGACCTGGGAACTGGGGTGTAGTCTGATCTCCATTTGTGCAAATAAATATTTTCCACCTGTTCTTAGTTATTCATTTAATTGCCCAACCCATTTTCCTGTATTGAACATACCTGGGACTTAGGATGCCAGTCAGGTGGGATTGATGGGGTTGAGTGAGGCATGATTATGGAGGGGAGAAATTTTTTTCAACTTGGAGCTTTCCAGTGAAGGATCAGCTGACACTTCTCCCCACAAATGAGGGAAGAATAGAAGGAAAAGAAACAAGACCATGATCGACGTTGTATCTCTGAGACCTGCCCACTTTCCTGACTGGCATTTCCATGGCTGAGTCAAGCGGATGGTTGTAGGAGGAAGGATTCTCTCTGGAGCACTTCTGTCCTGGGACACCTGGCCCAGATGTCACTACTGTGGCTGAAGCTTTTGAATTCCTAGACAGATCACCCGGCGACTATTTTTGATTCTCAGTCCTCCTTTCCAGAGGAACACAAGATAACCTATTCTTCAGTGGGGCTTAGTCTGGCTTCTTTTGTTAGGGAAAGACAATTTCATTTGACAACTTTGTTTGAGCTGCTGAATTGTTGAATAACTTGAAAAACTGTTTCTAGCATTAGCCACCGGACTGAGAGTTCATTACATCAGAATTCTAATCTTGGCTCTGCCCCCAGTTAACTGCATCATTTTATGCAAGTCCCTTAACCCCTCTTGGCTTCTGTTTTGCATCTGTGAAATGAAGTACATGAATGCAAAGATCTCTCTGTGTTTTGAGATTCTCTGACTTCTGACTCACCGGAGGGCAATGAAAGGAAGCAAACTGCACGGTGAGGATTTCCTGTATGGATCGCCCCAAATGTGGTGTCCTTTGGTGGAAAATCAGCGTAGGCAATGAAGAAAGGCCGTGCACTCTGGTGTTAAGCATATATTTCATGTATTTATACCAATATATGGAACCAACGTCTCCTGATGATAATCTCCAGCACCAGCTGTGGGAGTTTTGAGAAGACCTGGAGGATTGTTTAGCTTAGAGGGGGCAATGCCGGGATTATCTTTTGTGTGTTCAAAGAAAATACCAGTGATGCTACCAGTCCACCTCTACACTCCGCTGGCAGGATTCCTTTGTCCTGATATCAGTCTAATTTCCATTCTCAATCTATTTTTACTACCTAATTACCGACTCCTTCAGAACTAGCATGAGATGAAGCTCTTAACTACCCGTATTACACAGTGACCCTGTCATTCTGAGTCCTGTCCTGTCTCTTGTGGACAATAGAGCCAAACAAACATGACGACCACAGCACTAGCTCACACAAGTGTGCTTAAATACCAAAGTATGTTGTAGATGCATAACCTTAGCAGGGGGAAGGGAGGTAAAGACGCAAGTGGATATTTGGCAAGAGTCCATCACAAATGAGGATGGAGTGGCTAGGTTCTCCTTTTCATGCAAACATTTTGGCCTGACTCAGGTCATTTTTTTTCCAGCATATTCCGTTGGACACAGGGAAACTAGGTGCAAAGCCATCACTGGCATTCTGGAAAGAGTTCCAAGCCATGTCCCCTTCATGGAGAGTCAGTAATAGCACATGAAAAATGGCAGCAAGGCCTTCTTGGGAAAGAATTACATTTGCACTAGTGTGGAAGTTAGAATCAGAATTTGGGCTGCAGTTTCGGAACCATGCCAAGGACATTCAAAGTTTGGGCTAAGGAGGGTTTTTTGACCTGGTGTCCATGAACAGGTTCCAAGGGGTGTGGGAACCTCCTCAACCACCTAAAAACTTCCATATGTACATTTTCCTAGGAGAGAGTCCACAGCTTTCATCAGATTTCCACAAAGCAGTCTATGACCAAAGAAAGGTTAAAAGCCATGGACATAAGCCATATAGTACCCTTTTGCATGCATCTGTCTCTGAATCCAGGGTGATGCTGCTGACCTGCCTATCTTTCTTCTTTGCTCCTCCTAGAAAAAGCAAGTGAGTCAGACCAAAATCCGGGTCATCTCAACCATCCTGTTCATCTTGGCTGGCTGCATTGTGTTTGTGACGATCCCTGCTGTCATTTTTAAATACATCGAGGGATGGACAGCCTTGGAGTCTATTTACTTTGTGGTGGTCACTCTGACCACGGTGGGCTTTGGTGATTTTGTGGCAGGTAAGCACCCTGGATATCCCAGTCACCGGGCCCTGTTGGGAAGAATAATCCTTTAGCTGGGCTTTTCCAAATCACAATAAAAGACACTGCGGGTGATGCAAATGAAAATGACTCACTGATGTGACTGCTGTGCAGGGGCCCATTTCAAACCCTTGTCCTGTGTCATGTAAACAGCAGCAGGTTTTTGCCATGAAAGAAAATCCAGCTCCTTCCCCATCAGGATGCTTAATGCCCTTATCATCACACAAATTATGCAAGAGTGAAATAAATTTCTCATTGAATCCTGGACTTCTGAATTGTGTTAAGGCTCTTTGAATCAGCTAGTGAAGGCTGTATTAGCAGGTGGCAAGGATGAAACTTGGGGGAGATTAGGACAGAGGTTGACCTGCCGTGACTTGCAGGTTAAACTTCCTGACACACTAGTGGCCCTGGAGAAGTTGTGCTGGGCATGCCCAGACTCAAGACTTAGTACTCTGGTGACTCCTGGGAGCTGAGAACTGCCCAGAGGGAATATAATCTAATGGATTCTGCATGAATGTATATAGAAGCAATAGCCTTTATTGTAAAATTAAATGTCAGTGAGTTATGTTCAAGGAAATGAAAGAAAACCACTATCCACTTCATCTAGGGACAGGGAGCTTGAAAATGAAAGGAGATTTGGCTTTATACATATACTGCTTTCCCAGAGTGTGGCAGAAAGGCAGGAATGCGAGGAAGAGGCCATCCTTCTCTTTTCCTAATGGGATAGTTCTAGGGGTTCAGACAATTGATTATTTTCTACTCCAGGAAGTAAACACTTTAATCAAACTCTGATCTTAAGTTTGAAATGTTTGGGTGGATCGTGTGTGCGTGTGTTTGTGTGTTCATGTGTGCATGTGTGTTCATGCGTGTGTGTGTTTGTGTGTTTCCCTGACAAGTTTCTGGTTAAGCAGGAGCCTGGATGTTACTGAGCTCCCAAGCAGACTGGTCTTTCTTTGGCCTGTTATCTATGGAGTATGGTGAACATTGGAGGATGGGGATCTGGTCTCTGGGAATCTGGTAAAAAGGAAATTCTGGAAGGCATGCTGAAGGCTCATCCACAGGAGCACGGCTGCCTCCATATTAATTCTAGAACACAGATAACTGGCAGAGTGGTTTTGTAGCTATTCCAACTGGGCAGATGAAGTTCACTTTGTAGGAATGGTAGTTTTTTCCCTCCTTCCTTTACCTTGATTAAGGACTAAGAATTGCAAAGTCACATTGTTTGATTAAAAATTGTTTATAGAGGGCTGGCCCGGTGGTGCACTGGAGAGTGCGCTGCTTGCGAGCACGGTGGCGCTCCCGCCGAGGGTTCGGATCCCACATACAGACTGGTTCCCGCTCACTGGCTGAGCGTGGTGCAGGCGCAACACTGAGGGTTGCGATCCCGTTACCGGTCAGTAAAAAAGACAAAAAGGAAAAAAAAATTGTTTATAGAAAGCCTGGGGCCTAGGACCCCTCCAGTCTTTCCTTGTGCACGGTGCTCAACCGTGCTGTCTGATTAGAGGTCTCAAGCTCTGGAGAGAAACCACACAGAGAAACAGAGAAGTAAGAGGAATAACTGTAGATGTGTTCTGGTTAATTCCTTCACATCATCCACAGCTGATCTATGAGTAAACTTAGCGGAGGTTCCAATCGAAGATGAATACGTGCAATAGCAGCCGGCGTTTAGAACTATTTCACAAACATCTTTAAGTGCCCCACAGGAAAATTTGCAGGGGGTTGTGCTAGCACTGGGCTGGCCTGAGAACTCTCTAGTATAAGACACTTGTGATGGACCCTGCTCTGTAACCAATTGCTCAGTTCAATCTGTTAATCAGTTCATCTGAGCCACCATGGACCAAGCACTTATTACATACCAGCACTTTACCCTATCTTTTCTTACCCAGTAAAGCCATGACCTGCACAGTCCCAGGCATCCACACTGTTTAAATGTCCTTACTTACCAGTGATTACAGAGCCATATTTCCTTTGTCATTAGGTTTCTGCAGACCAGGCTCTCTTATAATTCACAGTGCTGACTGCAACTAGACCAGGCCCTTCTAAGCTCCAGTTTCCAGAGCTTACACAGACCAATCCGTAGAATGCGTGCCTTAAAAGATTGGAAGTTTGTCACTTCCCCTTGGTAATACTCGAAGAGTAATAAGGAAGGTTGATCAATCATAAAAAGAAACATTAACGAGAGCTGATGGTTGCTGTGATTTGACCTGGTATCAACTCTATTAGAAATGTAATCAGAACATGGATCAGACAGGATTGATTGCTGGTTTATTTTGTAGCTGACTCACTTTAGGACAGCCTAATGACATTACAGCATTTCACAACCCTGACTGGGAGCACATACAGAGCTCCAACCTCCAGACAAGTGCATGGATCAGACAGGATTGATTGCTGGTTTATTTTGTAGCTGACTCACTTTAGGACAGCCTAATGCCATTACAGCATTTCACAACCCTGACTGGGAGCACATACAGAGCTCCAACCTCCAGACAAGTGGTTGATAAAGGGAGCCTCAGAAGGGTGTTCACTGTGTTGCTTGCTAGTGCACCCTAGTGGCAGTATTTGTTGGGTGACGGTGACTTGCAAAAGTAGTGAATTATTTACTCTGTGCCAAAAGAGAAAGCTACAGAGTCCTCTGGCCTAGTACAGAAACGAAGTGAACCTCAAAATCCACATAATGTTGCAGGCACTCGAATTGTGTCCTAGACAAGGCTGCAGGGGTGCCTAAGGGGAAAAATAAAGGCAGCTGAACCAAACTGAAGGGGGCTTAACACAGAGCAATGTTTGTAATCCTGACTTCAAGAAGTGGCAATAGCTGTCAAGACCTCGTGGGCTGCATTGCAAAGGGGGCTCAGGCATGTTGAGAAGAGCCACAGGCCACAGTGCCTGCCCAGCTGCCCTTGGGAGGTATTAGTGATGCCATAGGAGCTTGTGGTGCTAGATGTGGTTACAACCACCACCCGGTGGGAAAGTCTAGGAATCACTCATCATATGATACTGTAATTACCAATCCATTGCTAATGTCAGTGGTCTTAGAAATGGCCACTGCCTGCTTTATCGGGCAACGGCATCTCACAGAGTGAGAGCAAGGCTGATGTCCATTATTTCATGGAGCTTCCTCACTTCTTTAAGGGAGTGGGCTGGGCTTGGAAGCTGCTTTGCATTGGTGCCCTCAGCAGGGCCTGCAGGAAGGCTGGAATAAATAGGCTAATTATTCAGAATACACGGCCGGTCCTTTTAGTGGAACAGCCAGTCAATGCAATCAGGCAACTAGACAATTTGCTTAGATGGATTTTTACTGTAATTCCTATTTATAAAATAGATGGATTGGACTACCTGGCCTCAAAGGTCCCTTTCAGTTCTAGCTTATGGTGACTCTAATTACTCAGGCTAATTGACCCTTTGGATTAGCATCATGGAAACACCATTCCTGAGTTAGCATTAAACCACTATTCCATAGATCAAAGTCTCAGCAATGCCATTACGCCTAACTTTACTTGTATAAATTCACTCATCTCTTGGTAAATATCTGTGTGCTTAAGATGGACATGGTTATAAGAATTCCAAACCGTCTGGGAGGATTTAAGAAAAAGAAATGACAGCTGGACCTGATCTGTTGTCCTCTAGCTCAAAGTCATTCACCGTCAATGCTCAGGCTGACAATAGGTGGGTCAAAGTTTTTGTTATGGGTACTAAGGTTAAAGGTCAAGAATCAAAGTAAGTTGAGTCACAAGTCAGGCTCTTTTAGGGAAGGGACACATCTTTCTCTTGCCCTCCAACCTCTGTCACATCTTATATACAGCAAGCCTGACAGCCAAGTGTTAGATGAGGTTGGAATGACATCGCTGCTGCATGGGCCAGAATATGTTTGCTCTGCAAAGACCATCTGCCAAATCATGGTTAAAGTAACATTTGGTTGTTTTCAGGGGGAAACGCTGGCATCAATTACCGGGAGTGGTATAAGCCCCTAGTGTGGTTTTGGATCCTTGTTGGCCTTGCCTACTTTGCAGCTGTCCTCAGTATGATCGGAGACTGGCTACGGGTTCTATCCAAAAAGACAAAAGAAGAGGTAGGACCCCTTCCCACTCTACGAATGTTCCTGAGATCAGATTAGCTCGTGGCGAGAATTGCCTGTCTCTGCTCTGTGGGATAGAGTGTTTCTGACTCTGTGGAGGGCTCATAAGATTTTCTCATTTTGAATCATGACCTCAAAGCCAAGTTGAATGCAATAGCTGTTATTTCTGGACCTTTTTTCCTAGCAGGTGAGAAAAATATAGTGATTCACTTACCAGCCCATAAAACCTGGAAAGACTAGTTACACAACAACTGATTTTAAAAAATGAAAAGAAAAAAATGAATAAATAGAAATAGTCCACAGAGGTAAACTGTGGCTGAGGGAGGTGGCAATTGCCGCTTATCAGCAAATAAGTGGGGAGGCTTAGAAATCTCGTAAAGAGCCCAGGAAACCCGGCCTGTCCTTCAGGTCTCATGGTCTGTATGGAAATGCAGTTGAACATCATGCGTCTTTCTAGATGCAGTATGAGACCGAAACCATGGAACCATGGCCAGCCACAGGGATGTGAACTCAAGGGGTCCCTTTCACGTATATCCCCTCCTGGGTGTCAGATCCATAGAGACAACTATGTCCCTGTGGCCAGGAGTACACAGCTTTTACTCACTCATATAAATTTACATGAAGATCTACACGAAGGCAAGAAAAAGATATAAGAAGGAAGGATAGATTTTTTGATTTAAAAAAATGTTCATGTAGTTTTTCTAGGAAGAGAGTAAAAGAAATAAGAAATCAGGAGGGCAAGAGAAGGAGAGAGAAAGAGTTAAAGAAAGGAAGGACGAAGGCAAGAAAAAGATATAAGAAGGAAGGATAGATTTTTTGATTTAAAAAAATGTTCATGTAGTTTTTCTAGGAAGAGAGGAAAAGAAATAAGAAATCAGGAGGGCAAGAGAAGGAGAGAGAAAGAGTTAAAGAAAGGAAGGAGATAAGAAAAACAAATAAAGAAGGAGAGGGGAAGCCTCTTTAAGGACAACTGTTTACTTTGTTCTCTATAAAAGGCCCCAGGAGAAAGTTGCTGAACGGAGAAATTTCCCATATCATTACTGGGCCTAAGAGTTAATTTTGTGGCTTACATTAGCAGTGCACATGCAATTTCCAGTCTGATTCCCCAGATAGCTAAGGGAGCTGCTGAAAATCAGCTGTAACAAAAGAGAAAGGGGCAATATGAACACTGACATTCATAAATGCAAGAATTTGAGTTACTCATCTGTATAGGGAAGCACAGGACTCATGCCCTGTTAATTAAGAGCCAAGAAATTTGGTGCTGATCCTCAGGCAAAACATCACTCTAAGCAAGTATGTTCTGTGGCTTTTGGCAGAACATGCCTTCTTCCTGCACCCTGACCAGAGACATTTAGTTACCAGATGCCTGTAGGGTCTTCTTAAATCAGGGCAAGCCTGATAGTACCGGACCATGGCATGGCCCAGATATAGTGTAAATGACTGTCTCAGTTTGCCCGGGACTGAGAAGATTCCTAGGATCTGGGAATTCCTGTTTTAAAAGCAGGACCATTCTGGGCAAACTGGGATGGGTTGGTCACCCTACCCAGATAAAGATATTAGGGGGACAGGGAAGGGCAAAGGGCCTGCTGAACATCTGTTTTGTGGCCAAGACTGAGCTAAGTGCATTTCCTCATCTCACATAATGCTAGAAACTCCATGAGCTGGATACGATCATCCCCATTTATGTCAGACGAATGAGGCCCTACAATTCAAAAAAGAGCAGAAACGTAACTGGAACCCAATCCTGTCCAGTTCCAAATATTGATCTTTCCCCCACAGTGCTGTCTGCCCCTCATTCAGTCACCATCTCCCAACCTCAGGCTTCCTTCGAGTTCTCTGGCATGTGTGCCTCCCCCAGCCACATTAGTCACTCGCCAATTTCAGCTGGGGATCTGGGCAGCTAGAAGGACTGGGGCAGAAGTAGTCTTGGGCCCCTCTCCCAGGGCATCTCCTCTACCATTCCCCTGAGCCAGCCTCCCCCTGGGGACCCCCAAGGGCTGTGGGTGCTGGGGAGGGGGTTCAAGGCAGAGAGGAATTCCTCAGCATGTCGTTGCTGTTCCGTCTCCTGGCCAGGTTGGTGAGATCAAGGCCCACGCGGCCGAGTGGAAGGCCAACGTGACAGCCGAGTTCCGGGAGACGCGGCGGCGACTCAGCGTGGAGATCCATGACAAGCTGCAGCGGGCGGCCACCATCCGCAGCATGGAGCGCCGGCGCCTGGGCCTGGACCAGCGGGCCCACTCCCTCGACATGCTGTCCCCCGAGAAGCGCTCCGTCTTCGCCGCACTGGACACGGGCCGCTGCAAGGCCTCGTCCCAGGACAGCATCAACAACCGGCCCAACAACCTGCGCCTGCAGGGGCCGGAGCAGCTGAGCAAGCATGGGCAGGGCGCCTCCGAGGACAACATCGTCAATAAGCTCGGCTCCACCTCCAGGCTCACCAAGAGGAAAAACAGGGACCTCAAGAAGACCCTGCCCGAGGACGTGCAGAAAATCTACAAGACGTTCCGCAATTACTCCCTGGATGAAGAGAAGAAGGAGGAGGAGACGGAAAAGATGTGTCACTCGGACAACTCCAGCACAGCCATGCTGACGGACCTGTCCCCCGAGAAGCGCTCCGTCTTCGCCGCACTGGACACGGGCCGCTGCAAGGCCTCGTCCCAGGACAGCATCAACAACCGGCCCAACAACCTGCGCCTGCAGGGGCCGGAGCAGCTGAGCAAGCATGGGCAGGGCGCCTCCGAGGACAACATCGTCAATAAGCTCGGCTCCACCTCCAGGCTCACCAAGAGGAAAAACAGGGACCTCAAGAAGACCCTGCCCGAGGACGTGCAGAAAATCTACAAGACGTTCCGCAATTACTCCCTGGATGAAGAGAAGAAGGAGGAGGAGACGGAAAAGATGTGTCACTCGGACAACTCCAGCACAGCCATGCTGACGGACTGTGGCCCGCAGCCCGGCGGGATGGAGAACGGGATGGTCCTCACCGACACCAAAGACAGGGACCTCGAGGACAACTCGTTACTCGAAGACAGAAACTAAATGGGAAGGACGTTGGACTAAGCGCTGTGGTTTTTTTATAGTCACACGGAGACACGTGCCTTAAACAGACTTCTTGTTCGTCCAAAATTACATAGCACCGAAGAATATGTTTCACTGTGCCATAAACGACTGAGCGCTTGCTCTGCCCGAAGGAGTCAGAGAATAAGAATGTCGCTTCAGAGAGCCACTGCAGGACACGCAGGGAGCGTTCGCACATGCAGCAGGTGGTGGCCGTCCACACGAGGGGGTGTCCTGGGCAGTGCTGTGCCACCGTGCAGGGCCGCCCTGGCTCGGCGTGTGGAAAAGGGCAGCTATTCCTTAGACCAGCCTACTGAGAGGAACAGGTGTGTCTTTTAAATGGAGTCTCGTTTCCTGCACATGCCATTAGTGATATGTGCACACACAGAAGGGGACCTGATTGGGGGTGAACTGGGAACTGTGACTGGGGTTAGGGTTGACATTCTGGCAGGTGCTCTGAGCTTGAATTTTGATATAAACCATTCAGCGCATAACACCTTGTCTTTCTAAGCTCCGAAGGAATGGCCTGAGCGCACCTGGAATGTGTTGGGAGCAGATCAGAGCACATGTAAAAAATGTGCAGTTGCTTTTCTCGTGACAAAAGAAAAAATAATCACAGACATATCTCACTGTGGATTTCACCATGACCCATGACAGAAGCCTACTGGGTTTTGTCTTTCTCACAGGGGGAGGTAGTCCAAATGGATTTGGGAGCACTGGTGAAAACTCAACCTCAGCTGCTGCATGGTTAAAGGCAAATCATGCATTTTCCTTAGTGGGTGCGATGGTGAAAATAAACTGATTTCGAAATGTCCATGTTCACTTTTCTAGTGGGACCTCGGTTACAACCTGTTTTGATAAAAGTGGGAAAAATACCAAAACTATTGCCTTGCATGATGCCAGTGGCTTGCTGTTCTGTCTAGCTGATCCTATGTTTTTATAAAAATAGACATCCTACATTTCTGAGACATACCGAGGAGGACCATGGCATCTTTCCATCTCAGGGCTTTCTGTCCCTTTGGGTGTCTTAGGGTAGACATAGTTATGAGACCCAATCTTGCTATCTCCAAACAAAAGGAAAATCAGTCCCTCAACCAACTCTTGTACAGTACAATTGAAATGTTTTAATTGCTTGCAGCTTAAGTGCCATTAATGCCATTTGAAAAATAGTACTTAAAAGAAGTATTTAAATATTTTATTTTACTTTTATGTTTGGGCATTCCTTTGTTCTGAAAGCCTCACTTTTTAAAATGGGTTTTTATTAGGAAGGGACAAATATATTCTAGGCCATCATCATGTGTGTGCCTCCATCTTTGTCATAACTGGCTGGCCATCATACTGGATCAAAGTTAGCTATTTGGGCCATGCACTTAAGCATTCGGGCCTGGCAACACCCAGAAGTTGCTGGTTATGGGCCTTCCAGGCTTTGTGCCACCCTTTGGAGATTTTATGGGATTTTACACAACTAATCCACATAGCAGATTCACCAAAAAATCACAGCAGCAGTAGAGGAGACTTCCAGAAATGGTCTAGTCCTTTCTGACTTCCAGGGAAAATTATACCCACAATATCCTTGAACACTGGTACCATGGAAGACCTATTCTTGGCAATTCTCAAAAATGCACAGCTTTCTCCTGCTGGGAGCACACGCAGTCTCTCTCTCCCCACCCCCAAACCTTTAGGCTCTAGTTAAAAGTTCGAGCATTGCATTAAAGGAGGAGCCAACTAAGAATCCACTTTGATGAGGCCCTTGTTGTCTAAGGAAGGTTTGGGTTAACTCCTCCACTGGGCTGGAGCTGTGGCTCACTGGTGACATCCCGTGTCAATAGAGTAATACTCAGACACCTGGGAAATGATGCTTATATAGGTGTGGATGTTGATTTTTACAATGGGAATCGTTCCAGCCTGACAAAGTGTTTTAAGGAATTGGTAGATAGCTGGGGCTTTCTCTCTTATTCTGACAAGTTAAAGTTTCCTGATTAAATTGTCCATAGATCACACTCATTTGGGTTTCCTTGGGTACCTATTTACCTTGGTACCTTCTTTATAGCAGTATGTTAAGATTCTAGGCTCTACAGCCAAATCTGGCAAAGAGGTTTCCTTATCAGTTATCCGGGGTCTTCCATGAACCAGGCACTGTACTGGGCACTTCATGGATGTTAGCTCACTGAAACCTCACAGCACTATGTGGAAAACATTTGCAAACCTATTATACAGATGAGGACGTGGAGGCTTAGGAAACTAAATAGCTTACCCAGTGGCACACAGCAAGAAAGTGGTGGAGCTGGTATTCAAAGTCTGACCAAAGTCTGCTTTCCACTCTGCTGCATTGTCAGTGTCATACACCCTCCCGAGTGTGTGTGTGTGTATTTGTGTGCATATGTCTTTCTAGGTTCACAGACACAACTTTCAGAGGTGGGGAGAAGATATGGAGGAATCTTTACCACCAAGAGGGCATGAGGTCTTTGTGCAAACATGGCCTAACGGGTTGCCCTTGCAGACACCTACCGTACATCTTTTCTGTTTTTGTTTTTGTTTTGGAAATGCTGTACCTGACACCCTTTTCATATTGTTAAAACACCCTTTGTAAGCACTCTTTTGCACTTTACTTGATTAGTTTGCAGAAACTCTGCATATAGCAGGAATAAAACAGCTCAAAGCACTAAGCTGCATGGTCTACCAAATAGAACAGGTTCATGGTGCTGTATGCACATAGACGCTTCCCCAAATGAGTCAAATCACGGTAATATGGTGGGATTGCAAATAGCCTTGAGCTGGGAGTGAGTGGAGAAATCTTTGACATTACTTGTTTCCTGAGTACAGTGTGGTCAAAGCCCTGACAAATAAAATCAAAGATGACCCTTTATGGAGGTTGATCCATTAAATATATGGGCCAAGGCTTTAGAAAACTATAAAGAACTCTCCAAAGGAGAAGCTGAGAGGGAAGTAAGAGGTTGGATTCCTCTTTGTATATGCTAAGATGTGGGGAGAGGCCAGTTGTTTTGAAGTTACTTGAATGTCACCTTTTTTAGATGGAGCTATTGCATGTAGAATGCATGTGATAAGGCAAAGCTGCTCCTATGGTAGATATGCATCAGCACAGCCTTCTCCTTCCGATCTGCACTGCCACCCTCCGCCTCCATAAACCTGGAATAAACGTTTTGATTTTGCACACGGAGAGAGCACATGTTCAGTATCTTCAGTGGGCAGTGTCTTTTGCTTCACCTGGCAATTGGGTACTGAATTTTTCTTCCATAGCAAAGCTGGAGGTTTACTGGTGAGAGTTGAGGGACAGTTTGGAGCTACTACAGCTCAATAACCCAAAAATGATTCCAGGAATTTCCCACTTTTGGGGTAGGGCTGTAGAGTGTGTATGGGTGGGGGGTGGGGGGTAGGCGTGTCCCTGACCTGTAACTAAGGCAGCTGGGACTACCACCTGTGTTCCACCAGTCACAGCCTGTGATCGTGGGCCCATCGGTTCCTGGCCTAGACCTCTATTACCTCATGTGCACATCAAGGGAGTTAAAGCACAGGTAATCATCAAGGTCCCTTTTAGTTGTGCAGTTCTTTGATGAAACATTCTCCAGTCCATGAGTTGATTACATTTTTTAAGAAAGTTATGTTGCATTTGAGACTACTGACTAATAGTCCCACCCACTTTAGATTAGGGTGAAAGCTTAGTCTCCTGCCCTTTGGGATTTGTTTTCCAGGTGATTGATGGAGACCAGCTTTACTTGGGAGTCTGGTGTCCAAATTAGGATCCTGCCCCTTGTAGGCTCTCTCTAGCCTTCTTTACAGTTCTTTAGCACCCTGTCACCCACAGGGCATATGCTATTTGGGCATTTTTTGCATGGTGTTAAGACTAGATAAAGCATTTTAAGCTGTTGCTATTTGCAGTCAATTGTACTAAAGGTTCCTTCCCTTTGATTACTTCATGAATTCTTGAACTATGTTCAGACAGACATCACGGACACATACACAGACACATGCACACACAGACACATGCACACACAGAGGAAATGGTTGCTTTGGGTTCTATGGGGACCATCCTGTGTTGAAAGTCCTAGGAGTGCTAAATATTAGCAGACCACCCCCTGGCTTCCCTCTGAAATGATATCATTTCCTGGCTAAGTCAATGCTGCCCGTTTATTTGTATGCTTGGTTTAGGGGGTTAGTGAGAATATTGCCAGAGGTTGGGCAGGGCAGGTTTTTACTCACTGGATGGGTAAGAATGTGGACCATCCCGTGTGTACCATGGTCTCTGAAACATAGGAAAGGCACAGGAAAATAAACAAACAAGCACAGCCTCTCCAAAATAAGGAAAATAAAACTAGCTAGTATTGCATTCCATATCTCTGCTTTCTGCACTCTGCTAATGTTTCAAGTGAGGGCTATTCTTTCTTCCTGTTATGATGTATGTAATCGTGTGAAGAGACAGTGGCTGAGTGAGCCGAGGGAGCTTTTGGTGATAAAGTGAGAGTTAATTAGAAAGGCCTTAAAGAAGAAAAATGGAAACTGTCTGAAACAGAGGTCACTTTAATTTGGCATTGTGGATGCTGGAAATTTTGGAATAGAGTGCTAATTACATGGCTGTAAATAAGGCCCCACACTCTATCCCTGCATGATAGCTGCAATAGCTGCATTGGACTTTGCCAACCTGCCCATACTCCATGTAAAACCTCAGTCCTCCTGTGGCAGTCCATAAGTCACAGGATATCAGCGCAGTGGCATTGACGGGAAATGAGAGGTGACTCTGATTTACTGAAAGTGATTATCATTTTCACAGGTGCCTGAGATTTGTGTTCTTGGTTCTTAAGTGAAAAATCTCAAATAGTTCTCTGTGCATTTAAAACCAGTTCCTTGAGAGGATGAGCGGTCCATCGACCCAGCAGACCTGTGCTGCAGAGGATACCTGCAGAACCTCTCATGTGCCACCAGGGTTCCGAGCTTGAAGGGACAAAGTGTAGTGGTGCCCAGAAGCGATACGCAAACCACCCACATACCAGCTTCCGGCCTCTTTCCCATCCCAGAGTCACAGGCAGGGGACACAGTGACAATGATGATAAATCCATGTGTGGAGGTGTTTTACCTATTTTTCTCTCTGTAGGATTTCTTGGTGCTTTAAAAAAAAAAGGCATTTTACAGAAAATAATGTGAGGGGGGGATTTCATAATGTTCTTAGGAAAAGTACAAAAGCAAATTTGCCTGTAACATTTCAATATGCTGTGCTGCTATTGTCTTTATTTGATGATGTAATTTTTTTTTTCAATGATGGAGAAAATTGCAACAAAGACCTGGAAGATCCAATCCACTGTCTCTCCTGTTTTCCTTTCTTTTGTGGGGTCTAAGTGTGGTGCACAGCGGCTGGGTTGGGAGCTCTGATCTGGACCACAGGATGGGCTCCTTTCCCGGCTTCCACCCACTGCTTGCAGGCACTCACCAGCACGGAGCTCGTGGCGACACACTGTCTTGCAGGACGAGGAGCCCAATGCTACCCAAGGAGAGGGAGCTTAAATAATCCAGTATTACTGCTGCACATTTAATGTCATTTCCCTATTTTTACCTGACGATGATTGCATGTTGCTGGGGGTTGAACAGCATGATAAATCACATTTTCTAGGTGAAAAACTATGTTTGGACATTGTGACTTGGGTGCCGACATTTCAAGCTGTGTTAGGTTTTGCCTTTGCTGTGCGTCTGCCATCCACGGGCTTGTGAATAACCAGATAAAATGGCGATCATTATTGAGCACTTACTATGTACCAGCTACTCTGCTGGGCAGTTTACAAACATCCCATTTCATCTTCCAAATGA